GAAACGCCTAAATCCCACACAAGACCCCGAGCCTCCTCTTCCATCGACGGCGTCAACTAAGGTATGACTTCAAGCTGACATATTGACATTTCAACTACTTAACAATCATGTAAGCAAAATTTTAAACTACGTATAATATAAATTACAAATGCATAATACTTGTCTGAGGATAGTCGAGGATGGCCGATAATTGTTTCCCCGTGGGACATCCGTCCGCTCGCGATGATCTCCAATGATGCATCCGAGGGTATCGTTTCTCCCCTCGCTTTGTAAAACGGGCCCCTAGTATAGGGACTGTCTCATATACCCAAATCTGCAACACATACACTTATTATGCATAAATGTAATATACTAAAACTTTAAATTTAATTATATTAAATATTTACCTACACTGCTAAAGGCAATTCATATGTATCGTGTTTACGCATTGACCTCCTGGGCCTCGAGTGTGATCTGGTGAAGACATGTACGGTGTCTTCGTAGCATCTCCGGCCCTATGGATAGTTGTTGAACGCATTGATGTCGCCCACAACTTGCAAATGAAAAATGTTGATGGCAGTCTTCTTGTGATGACACCTCATCACACTCACGAGGATGTAGACTAGCCCAAGCTTCAATTTATCTAGCATCTAGTCGCACCCGTTGATTGTGACCATCAACTTGTGTAGAAGCACTAACCCATATCCCTGGAAGTACATCTCGTACAGCCTATTGCTTCTCTCAATGGCTCCATCGTCGCCCGTAATCCTCAGTCCAGTGATCAAGCTAAACTCATACATCGAGAAACTGACGACCTTGCCCTCAAGGTCGAAGTGGAGGGAATCGCCGTCGACTGGCCTTAGAAGCCGACATAGAAGTGCATCGATGATATGTCCTGAGTACTACACCTCTCGCATCTGGTACAGTGGCCACAAAAAGGACTGTAGTATCATATCTCCATGATAATCATCGAGCAGCTCCAACACAGCAGTAAAACTCTCAAAGCTACTGTACCAAGTAGCTTTTCCCACCATTCGTCTCAACTCCCCATCTAAATGATACTCCATCCTGCAAAATTTTAAATTTTAGAACATTGAACAAGTGATAATAAAATAACGCATAATCTCAAAAAATCAATGGGAACCGACTTCTTGACGCTAATAACAAAATAAATTCAATACAAATGTAAAAAAAATTAATTAAATTAAAATACAAATTAATGAAATTTTCTGCAGAAGGAAATTATTAATATTTAAAGAATATAAAAGAGTTAAAAATTAAAGATTAAATATATTTTCAAAAAAAATTAAAGAATATAAATATTATTTAAATAAATTTTAAAAAATAAAAGAATATAAAAATTAAATAAATAAATAATATAATTATTATTTAATCAAATTAAAATTATAAAGAAAATTAATCTTGTATATTACATTTGGAAAATATATTTACAAAAAAAAAATTTAAATTAAATACATTTTAAAAAAATTGTTAATTTAAGATAAATTGTTAATTTCAGATAATATTCAATTATTAAATTATATAAATAAAAGACAATTATAAAAAAATAACATAATTATTATTTAATCAAATAAAAAATAAATTAATTATTTATCTTTTGTAAATTTGGACAATATATTTAAAAAAATATATAAAATTAAATATATATTTTTTAAAAAAATTAAATGACTGTTAACAGTCGAACCCAACTGTTAATAGTCGGGTATTGATTGTTAACTGTCTTAGTCCGACTATTAACAGTTTTGGACCGACTGTTAAAATCGACAGTTAACAGTCGAGTTCGACTGTTAACAGTCGACGCCTTTTCCCCTTTATCTCTTCGTCGAAAATCACCATTTTCGATGAGAGGTTCAAAAAATTCACATTTTCCACCCAAGCATCACACAATCTAACTACTCATGATAGTATTAAATCGAATAAATGTAAAAAAAAAAAAATTCAATTGATTATAAACAACAAAAATTATAAATTTGTGCTAGAAAACTAACCGAAATAGTTTCGCGCGGTGGTTGATAGTGGTCGTTGATCAAAGTCGTGGCGTCGGTGGTTTCGACCAGTGGTTGATCGGATTGTTTTGTGGCAATTGAGGCGTCGATTTTCTTTGGATCGGTCGATTAGAGGCGTCGAAAACAGTTTTTAATGTTAAAGGGTAAAATCGTCTTTTTGTATGTAAAGTTATTTTTTAACTATTCTTTTTTTAATTGACTTAATGGATCAAAGGCCAGTGTTAGAATTTGTTACTGTAGTTGAGTCATTTCGGTTTATTTGGCCCTGGACTGTGAAATGTTCTCTACCAGTTGTGGTGTAATTTCCACTAAAAACAAAAAATTAAAAATTCTTCGAGTAAGGGGCCATTTGCCACAATTCTTATGATAATGAGATTCGCTCAAAACGAGTGGTTCTCTTCTTGACTTGAATCCTGTGAAAATCCCAGAAGCATCCGAAAAATGAGCCCTCAAAGCAGAAGAGGAAGCCATGGCCAATACTCTCTCTCTCTCTAGCTCTTCCCTCTTGCACCACTGCACGAAACCCACTTCAAGAATCAACTTTAAAACCAAAATCAAAGAATCTTTATCAAATTCATCGACCATGGCTACTAATACTCCTACAACCGCCGCAAAGGTAGTGGCGCCGGCCATAATTGTCGGTGGTGGGCGCGTGGGTAGGGCTTTACAGGACATGGGCAATGGTGATGATGTGTTGATAAAGAGAGGTGAATCAGTGCCACTCGATTTTCCTGGGCCAATCTTGGTTTGTACAAGAAACGATGATTTGGATGCTGTTCTTGAGTCCACTCCTAAGTCCCGTTGGAGCGGTAAGATATACTTTTTACAGTAATTCTTGATGCTCTACTTTGAAGTTCTAATCTATTGTGTGCATTCTAGTATGGGATTTGACTTTTTTGCTTAAAGTGAATTCTTAAGTATTACTTCGGAACAAAATGAAATTCACTGACCATTATATAATTTCCCTTGAAGTTCCGGGACCAACAGGTTTCTAAGCCAGCAAAATTATTCTTTTCTTGTGTGTGTTGTAGGTGTTCACACATATATGTGCTCTAAGTATTTCCATCGAGTACTATTTTCGTGTCAAAGTATAATGTTGTTTAAATTGGATTCTTCCATTAATTTTGTGGTATTAGATGTTGAATATGATGTGTAATCGAATAAGTTTTCGGGTTTCTAAAATGAAATTTGAAGCCTGTTCTTTTTTTCTTTTTTCCTTTTTATTTAGTGTTTGAGTCAAGTTTTCACCTTGTGCTATTCAATTTGGCTATTGAAAAGAAAATGACAATTAAAAATAATTTGCATCTTCATCTTGTAGTTACAGGTCTTGCTCATGCACACAGTACATTAAGATGTCAAACAGTTGGTGAGGATATGATACCGGGAAAAAGTTGGGGGAATATGGGAGGGGATATAGGCTAATAGGCGTTTGTGATAATTCCCCTATCCAATTCATGTATCACTAGCGCAAGAAGAGAAAGAACCCGACCAACAAATCTACCTAAGGAAATAGAAGGCCACATTGATATCACAGTCAATTAATTACATTCTCTTTATATACATTCTTTTTACATTTGTAGTAAGTGGCGAGGATTCTAACAATGCAATTAGAAAATATAGTGGAAAATGGGGGAGAGGTTGAACCTCTCGAAAGTTCAGCAACCATTTGTCGTTCAGTTAATTTCCTTGCGATTCAGTCATTATTTCTCTTCTGTACTCTAATATACAATGTTAATAAAGCATCATTTATTTTCTGTACTATTTTCTGGATTTTACCAGTTTGAAATTGTTCGGTTACCTTTCTAATTCCTGAAACCAATAGCCCCCTCTGAGATTACATTGAAGTAGAAGAATCTCGAATTTTGTGTCCGTCTCTCTAACACGGTGATTGATTGATATCATGTAGGACAGAATTATGATATTGTCTTTGGGAGTATTGGGGAAGAATTAGTGTCCTAATCAATTTCTTGTTAATCGCATGTCTTTACAGTCTTAGCTCCACAATATTTTATGTTTCAATATTCTGTAATGATCACAAAACCAGGAGAGGAACGATGAGTCACAAAGTGAAACCAGATGGGGACGACTAATTTACATGGAATCATTTCACTTCTTCTCAACTTACCCAATCGCAAAGTTGAATATTCTTTATCCTCTTTTCCTCCATTACCCTTGACTCAGTCACAGATTTGGTCAAGAAAGCAAAAGAAATTCATAATCAGTAAAAAAAGATGTACAGTAAAATGATTGACACATTTTGTGCCTAACTTGCAAACAACTTGTTTTGAATTCATTATTTTCTCAAGTTCTTAGAATAAGGGAATGAAAGTTATACTCTTAACGATAAGAATGACTAAGTAATAGTATGATGAGCGAGATAAAGAATGTCCTGTTGCCTATTTGCCAAAGACAGACTTTAAATCAGAAGTTCCTGAGTACGCGCACATAATTCAATTCTGTCATTCAATTAAAGAATATTGTAATAGTCAATTGTTGCTCCCATTATAATAAGAAGGAAAATGGTATCATGAAAGAAAAGTAATGAGAGAGAGATTTTCATGTCTCTACTTTTATGTTATATGCTTACATCTACTCTATATTTCTTATTGGTTTGTTATGTATATTCAAAAATTGTTGTGTCTTAGTTTCTTAGTTCATGTCTAACTTGTGGCACCCTAATAATGTCCCTTCAATACTAATAGCTATGATAGAAGAGTATATTTAAGAAACTTTCTTTTTTGGCTCAAATTTATGCAAAAATCAGTACTCACTGTGTTATTTAATCTCTTTGCATTTGAATTTCCATTTGGTAAATGGGTTCGTAAATGATTAGACTTCAGGGTAAATTTAACAATCTAGCAGATTTGGTGTTTTTCCAGAATGGAATGCTGGAGCCGTGGTTTCAAAGTAAAGGCCTTGGTGATGCAGATCAGGTTTTAGCTTATTTTGCGATATCAAAACTTGGTGAACCCCCAATTGATGGTAAAACCGACACCAACCCGGAGGGTTTGACGGCTTCATACGGGAAGTGGGCTTCAGCAGTTGCTGCAAGATTACATGCGGGAGGCTTGTCTTGCAAAGTATATTCTTCAAAATTCCTCTTTCATGCCGTCTTAATTTTGCTTGAGCTCTCAGTATCTACCAAAGTTCTTCAACTCTATGTTTGGCAGAGTTTCTCGGATTTGTTGTTTTGATGTTTTCTATTAATCAAGATAATTGTTATGAAAATCCAGGTACTTGAAAAGGGTGAATTTCAGAAGCAAATGTTGGAGAAGCTTATATGGATATGTGCTTTCATGCTTGTGGGGGCCCGTCATCCTGGAGCAACTGTAGGTGTAGTTGAGAAGGAATACCGCTCAGAGGTATCTATATACCTTTGCAACTTACAATATTATGAAATGCAGAGCATGAGATTAGTTTCAGCTATACTGTTATTACTACTAATTCGTTGTGACAAAACTGGTTTTTGCCTTGGTGCTTTTGGTAGTGATCAGTGCTAACCTATAGCTCTAAACCCTGTTTGCTTACAGGTATCTTCTCTTATTACTGAACTGGAAGCAGCAGCGGCTGCAGAGAAAGGTATAGTTTTCGATGGAGCAATGGAGGATAGGTTATGTGCTTACTCAAGAGCAGTTGCTCACTTCCCGACCGCAGTTAAAGAGGTAAAAGAGTACAGATATTTAAAAACTCGATACTCATTTAAATTTGATTTGTTTGAAATAATTAGTACGCATGATGTTTGCAGTTCAAATGGAGAAATGGGTGGTTCTATTCACTTACAGAAAAAGCAATTGCTCAAGGCAAACCAGATCCATGTCCATTACATACAGCGTGGCTCAAAGAACTGAAAATAGTATAGAATGTGTCATTGGTTAGAACACATTTTCGTTTCATTCTCTCCATCTTCGCTTGTTTTAAATAAATGTATTATTGAGTTTGTCATTTGTTTTACACTATGTTTACATGTTTCAATGGGATATTGATTTAAATACAGGTGCCATTTTTCTGTTCTATTCCATGGGATAAGATGGCTCCAATGATCGTACTGTTGCATTATGAATTAGTTCATGTACGAATACATGAACTAATCCCAAGTCAATTTCTTGTTAAATTTAGATGAAGTTAATGATCCTTTGTTAATAAAGATAAAGGTAGTAATAGAGAGCATTAGTTCACTAAATTATTATGGTACCTGTCGTATCTTAATCATTCTGTCGAGCTTATCATGACTCGCTAAAGGACATATGGATGAATGATTAAAGTTAACACCAATATAATACAAAGTTCTATAAATCTAAATAAAGTCTCGAGAAGAGCCAATATTAAGTTATATAGGGAAATAAATTTTGAATTGTGTTACAGGTATAACATATTTGACAATATCGTTGATAGCCCTCTCAAATGTAGGAGGTAAGGCTCGTGATTAAAATAATCGCGAGACGCGAGAGGGCTGTCAAACTAAATGTACACTTAGCATTTCCCATAAATTTTACTGTTATTAGTAATTTGATCTCCATTAAATGAAAGAGTAACCTACAAAGTTGTTAACGTGTCTTAATTGGTATCCTATAATAATGTTAGTACAATTGAGGCAAACATTGTACTAAATCAAAGTTCAATATTTTTATTATTTCATTATTTGGCATGTCTAGATTGAGTGATACTAGATCAATAATGATTCAAAATGAGAATTAAAATGAACATTAATGAAGAATCAAAAGATTTGCCAATCTAATGAATTCACGTATATTGCTTGACCATCACTACTAAAAGTCAGGACTAAATTTTTATAATCTTAAAAATTAATTAGGGAGAAATATGAGACCTCATCCTCCTCCATGTTGACCATCTAGATATTTATCTGCATCTAATAGATATATTAACTAGATGATTGTAAAGTGTTATTATATATTCATGATTTGGTGTTTTACGAGATTCCTTGCTCGAATTTTAAATTACTAGTATAATTTTCAAGTTATACAAACAAGACGGTGTATCTTGTTAATGCTGTAAGCAAAGGCGAATGCACAATAGGGCATGGTGGGTCATGGACCCACCAACTTTTTCAAAACTTTTTTTTTTTTTAATTACTCTATTCCTTAGCGTTGCCCTTCACTTTGAAGAATTGTCGGATGTGGAAATTGAGTTCGAAGGTGTGGGTCACGCAGAGGAGGAGGATTGGATAGGCTGTGAGAGTTCTGGAAATTTAAGGTAATCAAAATCCTCTCCTCATGTGTTAAATTCCAAGAATATATGTGTAGGTATCATTTTCTGTATCCGACTGCGACACCATTTCATACAAATTGCTCGTACGTGAATCCATAATCTACGGGAAAATTAGAGGAGCTATGATTTATGAAAGTGCATTTATGGAAAAGGAGAATTGAAATTGAGAAAGAAGAATGAGTGTTGGGGTTTGATGATGAGGTGGAAGGAGAGAGATTCTCTATGGAACATTGTTAACACTTGAAAATGGAGGACGATGAATTCAATGCTATCACTTAAATTGAAACCCTTTTATACCGAGTAAATTTCATAAAGGGCACTTGATGCTGGGTAAAATTTTTTAAGCTAGTCCTTGAAGTTTTTTTATTTTTATTATTTTACCAATTTAATCGTTAAAGTTTATTAACATCTCGAAAGACTTGTCTGAAACAAACACACCCCTCACCTTGGAAGATTTGTCTAATTATTATTATTTTTTTAAAGTTTGATTGTGTCCTTTAGCTAAAAATTTCTGCGTCCGCCACTAGTTGTAAACATTTTAATAAAAGTTAGTTAGTTGGCGATAACTAATTTAACAATATTACTTATAAAATGCATAAAACTAATTTATAAATAAATACTATTGTTCAAAAGATGATTCCCATTTTTGTTGGCTCATGCTCAGAATCTAGTATTTTTCATCTAATGATTTTTTTAAAGTGCAATATATGTCAATTGCTTCACAACAATGTATTGAGATTCATATTAAAAATGTTGATAATACATATATTGTTTGACCCTTATAAAAATATTTTTTAAGTCCTAACGAGTGATATTTTATTGTGCAAGTTGCTTATTGTCAGTTTGATTTTGAATAAGTTTTTAAGTTTTAGTGGAAGGAATTAAGAAGTTAAAACTATATACATAATGCATCATTCATTATTATTATTATTTATATCATCGCAAAAGATAATTCAATTCAGAAATTTGATATATAATTCATTTAGATATTTTTATTGATTAAAGAGATTAACAACATCTTATATACTAGTTTTAAATGCTCCAACTCAAACTGACGTCTTTGGAGGATAATTCATTAATATTATATTTGATAAATCTATAATACTTCTGAAGCATGATAACATTCGATTCTAATACAAAAATCTTTAAACAAATGGAGCAAATAAGGATGATTGTCCCATTTAAGAGGCTATACTATTGAAAATGGTAATTAGTACAAAACGTCCTTATCTTTTAATTTTATTGTGTAAAACATCAATACATTTTATTTTTTGGTATTTTCATCCCTATTTTCATCTTTCATTGTGAAAAATGTCATTTTCTAACAATTTCTTAGTAAAAAAATGTAAAATGACAAATATACTCTCCTATTTAAATAAAACAAAAAAAAATCCAATATACTCCCAAACTTTAAAAAAAACTATAAATGAGTCCAAATAAATTTTTAAAAGGATAATTAACACAATATGTTTATATCTTTCAATATTATTGTGCAAAATATCCATACTTTTTATTTTTCGGCATTTTTACCATTATTTTCACATTACATTGTGAAAATTATCATTTTCGTCTATTTTCTCAATTAAAAGCTATAAATTGACGAAATACTCTCATATTTAAATAAAAGAAAAAAATAAAGAACAAATTATAACATACTCCCAAAATTTTCAAGAAAAATTACAAATAAATAATTAAAAAAGAAAGTGATATTTTTAATTTTTTTAATTATTTATTTGAAATCCATTTGTACTTTTTTTAAGTATAGTTGCAGCTTGTTCTTTATTTTTATTTTTTTAATTTTTTATTTAAGTAAAAAATATATTCGTCATTTTACAGTTTTTAATTGAAAAAATGGATAAAAATAATGATTTCCACAATGAAATGTGAAAATATAAAAAATGAAAGGTAGGAACGTTTTGAACAATAATATTGAAATGTATGAACGTACCCTTTTAATTATTTATTTGGACTCATTTACAGTTTTTAAAAAGTTTGGAAGTAAATTGCAATTTGTTCTTTAATTTTTCTTTTTCTTTTCTTTGTTTTATTTAAATAGGAGATCATATTTGTCATTTTACATTTTTTTATTAAGAAATTGGTAAAAATGACTTTTTTCGCAATGAAAGGTAAAAATAGAGGTGAAAATGTCAAAAATGAAAGATAATGGAGTTTTGCACAATACCATTGAAAAATAAGAATGCTTTGTGCTAATTACCCCTCTTGAAAAATATATAGATATAACTAATTATAAAACCACAGAGAAGATTCAAGTGCTTAAAAATGTAAAAAGTAGAGATATTTCAATAAGTTATGTTATTGTAAAAAAAGAAGAAATTTAGCGATAATACTTTTTGTACATGATGTATTACTTAATATTATATACATCGAAGATGTCAAAATAAATTCGTTAAAGCAAATTGATTGAATAAATAATTGGTCAAATAAAAGGACACAATTCCAACAAAATTGAACTTAGAGAAACCTAAAATTTTTGAATTTGTTATCCAAAAATCTAAAGGTGACTTATGTGAAAAGTAAATGAAAAAAATGAAATTGTAAAGTTTAATACCCCGATTCTCAACATAATGAATTTCATAAAGACTTGTATGAATATATAAACTATGTTATAGTAGATGTAATCACAAGTCTATATCTTGCTATCCTGTTAATAAACAAAATTTGATGACTATAACAATGTGGATATAGTTAACTCATATGACAATTATTAATACTATCCTTGAAAGATTGAATATGTTTGATCATAAGGGGGTAAATACGCATTGTACTATTTTTTCTTTTGACCAAGATTTAGTTCTATTGGTTTTCTTTGCAATATTTTTAATGAGGCAACTTTCAGCGTACTCAAAAAAAATATACTCCTTTTACTTAATTAGAATTTTCTCAAACAATTTTTCCTAATAAGGTTTTATATATAAATATATATATATAATGTCCATACTTATAAGATATTTACCCTCAAAATAATATTTTTATATGCTACAAGTCATAGTTGAACGTGCGTTGCACATTATTCTAAAACGTTTTATAGATACTATAAAAATAATATTTGAAGATGTGAGAATATAAAAAATAATGAATACATATTGTTTATGTGGATTTGACTTTTGATTCAAATGAAATGAAAATCAATTTTCGAAAACAATTTTACTAGTTGAGAAAATCAATTAGAATAGTCCATCCATTTTATTCTTTTGAATTGAACTGAACATCAAATGAATACCGCCTTTCTTCATATTTGCTTAATATGTATGAAATATATCAATTGAAATTATTTATTATAAATATACTTTATGTCCTCATTTACCTTCTCCGTATCTTAATATTCATTGAATAAATCAATTGAAAGAAAATTCCAAAAATATTCATCTTTGTTTCAAAAATTTTAATTGAATTTAATTTACTCTACAATCAAATGAAACGAATCTGTCAAATGTACATTGATCATAACATGATAATATTGTTCAAATATATATTGAAAAATGAAAAAAGATAATGAATCAGTCAAATAAACTACATATTGAAAAACTAAAAGTAAGGTAATGAATGTGTTGAATATATATTCACCATAACTAAATAGTTGACAAAATAATTAATGATAATATTATTCAAATGATTAATAAATTAAATACATATTAAAAAAAGTATGTTACTATTGAAATAATTAAATATATATTGAAAAATAAAAAGTGGGGTATTTATTATTGAAATAATTGAATTAAAGTAAGGAAACAATCGTCAAAAAATGATTATTACTTGATGTGAAATTTAATATATTATAGATCCAACGAGTACCATCATTTCTTCATATTTGATTAAATGCATTGAATATTTCAATTAAAACTATTTATTATATATACGCATCATGTCCCCTTAACATTCATTGAATAAATCAATTGGAAGAAAACTCTAAAAATATGATCTTTTGTTCCAAAATTTTTTAATAAATATAATTTACTATTCAATCAAGTGGGATGAATCTATGAAATGTACATTCATCATAACTAAATAATTGACAAAATAATCATGATAATATTGTTCAAATGATAAAATAAAAGAAATATACATTGAAAACAAAGAGTAATGAATATGTCAAATAAGGTTAAATAAATAAAATGTATATTGAAAAATATGAAGTAAGGTAACAAATGTGTCGAATCTACATTCATCATAACTATATAGTTGACAAAATAATAGATGATAATATTATTCAAATGGTTCAAATAATTAGTAAATTAAATATATTGGAAAAAGAAAAGTATGGTATTATTGAAATAATTAAATATTTATTGAAAAATGAAAAGTAATATATTAATAAAATAATAGAATTATAATAAGGATAGAATTGTCAAAAAATAATTCCCACTTGATGTGATATTTAATATATTATAGACATAGTTAAATCATGTTGGAGACTCTTGAAGAGAACAATAATAAGATACAATTAAACTACTCAAACGGATTTTTTGACAGGGTTTTGGGGACAAACTAGGTGGGCACCACATTGGCCTGCCCCAAAACCCTGTCAAAAAAATTTGCCACCTCAGCATTGCTCAATAAGATATGTTTTCAACTAACCATCATGTTAGCTACAATCAACCAATAATAGACAAGAGGTCATATTGCAATTTACAAAATCTTCATCCAAAAGTATAATTTGATCAATTAATCTAGTGTTTGTTTGGTAAGAATTTTGTTAATTGATTTTTTAATCGTTAAAGATAAAGTGAGTCCTATCCGTGAGAGAAAATTTTAAAAATGAAGGCTGGAATAGTGAAATAACGGTAAAAATTTGATGTTAATTGGATTAAAATCTCTACCAAACATGCTCTTAATCAATGTTCACTTAACTTTATTATATGTTACTATTTGCTTATTAAAATTTAAAAAGTTACTCTTTATTCATTGAACTTTGTTATATTTTACTAATTGCTTATCGAAATTTTAAATGTTATTTTTTGCTCTCCTAAATTTGAACAAAATTAATCATTGTTTATTGAACTTTGCGATAGGCAACATTGATGAAAATTATATGAGTTATTGATAAGTAACATTATTCAAATTTGGATGAGCAATAAGTAATTTTTTAAAATTTTGGTGAACAAATAATAATTTATAGTAAAGTTCAATGAATTACGAGTAATGTTTTAAAGATTGGTGAGCAATCAGTAACCAATAGCAAAGTTGAATGACTATTCATTAAATTATGGCTAATTGGATCACCTAGTCCAAGTCGTCAAGCAATTCTACTACGCAGTTTGATATTCTCTTTCCTCTAATTCGTATCGAGGTATACTTACATATTCTTCAATAATTGTTGTTTTTCAATTCAATTCATATAGATTATATATTTGAATTTAGTGTTATATATGCAATCTAGGGCTTTGAGCTTTTCAAATTAATGTTTATCTTTGATATTTAAGCCGATTGTTTGAATTATTCGATTCTAGGTTTTTGGATTATATTTCGAGGCCAATTTGATCATTGATTGTATAGAAGATGTGGGCAGCTTCATGTCTAGCATCGTGCTGTGCGGCTTGCGCGTGCGACGCATGCCGCACGGTGGTGTCAGGGATCAGCCGACAGTCGGCTAGGATCGCGTACTGCGGTCTTTTCTCACTATCGCTGATAGTCTCCTGGATTCTTCGAGAGGTTGCCGCACCCCTGATGGAAAAGATTCCTTGTAAGTTTTCTTTTCTTTTCTCTGTTCCTCTAATGCTCCAAAAAAATAAATAAATAAAGAAAAAAATGTTGCTGATTAAAATTGATTCCGCCAGTGAAATGTTTTTCTATTAAATCATGACTGGAATGATGTCTTAATGTGGTTAGATATCCGTGTATATTAGAAGCATTACATCGTTTCACATTCATTTGCTCCTAATAAGGTGTTTTTTACCTCATTTAGATCAGCTCCTTAGGTGGTTTAGATTTGAGTATAGAAACTTAAAGTAGTCCTGTTGTGACTTGGACAATAACTGGCTGTTTACACGATCGAAAGCTTTTATTTCTTAACTCCTAGTTTAAAAAGGGGAAATATTCTGTATAATCATCTTTTTGATACTCAGTCTGGATAGATAGCCTTGGATTTGATGGCTTTCTGTATGCAGGGATCAATCATTTTCACAAAACACCAGATAGAGAGTGGTTTGAAACAGATGCTGTGCTTCGTGTTAGCTTGGGAAACTTCCTATTCTTCACGATCTTGGCTATTTTTATGATTGGTGTGAAGAACCAAAAAGATCCTCGGGATAATATGCACCATGGGGGGTGGATGATGAAAGTTATTTGTTGGTGTATTTTGGTAATACTAATGTTCTTTATTCCGAATGAGATCATCAGCTTCTATGGTAAGCTATATGGTTCTGAGAGTTTCACTGTGATTTCAGTCTTTCCTTTGTTTATTGTGCTCCTTTTTTTTTTTTTTTTTTTTTTTTTTTTTTTGTTTTTTCTTTTTTTTTTTTTCTTCCTTTTTTTTTTTTTTTTTTTTTTTTTCGATATTTTGGAAAATCCTGAAATATGAATCAATTCTAAGTATTCTGTATTTTGAACATTTAAAATAGATTGAGACAACTGCTATTCAGCCATCATTTTATAGGGTTGAGATGTTGAAGAGTTAGCACCTAAAAAACATAAAATTAATTTTGATTGAGCTTTGTTCATGACTGGAATAGGGAAAGAATTTGATTTGTTTGAAATTGGAGATCGAATCATTTGCAAAGAGGGATCTGTATTTTTGACTTATGGTTTCATCTGCTTTGGCGTGGTTCTATCCTTTAGTAGCTACATTTGGTTGGAGAAAAATGTGAGAGGGAAGGGGGTTTAGTGAAAATCGATCTATGGAAGTAAAGGACCCTTTTTTGTTTGGTAAGGATAAGATGAGAAAGTGGATGTAAAAGTTATTTTCTTTTCAAATTGTTAGAGAGAGTTCGAGGTCAAAGCTGAAACGACCAAGTCAACCGCAATTTGAATTGAGTATTCAGATAATTTTTAAATTGGTAAAGTACAAAATAAATACTTTGTTTATTTTCACATCAATTTTTTTTTTTTTTTTTAAAGTACTAATCTCTTCCCTGATATTTCTAGTATACCAAACATTGATATCACCTATTTGTTAGAGTTTAAGCTTTTCTTTCTGGAAGTGGTTAATCTTTCTCCTTGCCTGCCTTGAATCAGATTTCACTGAGCACAGATTATTATCACTTTGACTTAAAATACTTGTTTAAGAAAGAAAAGTTAAAAAAAATGCAAATAATAGTTATATATATTCATTTTTTCCCCAAGAAGTAGATCCAAGAAGTGGACGGAAAGGGAGCTAAAGGTGTTACTGTAGGCTCTAGAGGAAATATATATTCCTTGTGGTGCAAAGAACAGAAGAAAAGCCCCTCCACACTCTCACTCACATGCCTGCCCAAAGAAAAATCATCTCTCCTTTCAAGCATAAATTTGTTTCTGTACAGATTAACAAGATGAGGATGAAAGGGGGCCAAACATTTTCTGCTTTTATTTCCCATCCAATCTCACTAAGACAAGCTTTTCACTAACATCTGTCTTTAATACTTTCGAGTACATCGTTTATGTGATTTCTTTGAAATGAATGCTGTGTTTTATGACATCACTTCATTGTTTGCTTTGTAATGTAATTGGGGCATTCGTTTGTAAGTAACTTTGACTTGAACTTATCACTTTTTACTTCACCTGTGGGAAAAATGCTCATGTTGAACTCCTTGCACTATTATATAAATGTGGAATTTCAAGAAATTTTTCTTCTTATTCTTATGTAGCCTATCTGTGCAACACATAACAGCTTATCCTTCCATGAGGATTTGTTTCTTCTTGCAATAACAATATGATCTTCATTTTTTGTTTGTAAATGCAGAGGCATCATCAAAGTTTGGTTCAGGACTTTTCCTTCTTGTTCAAGTGGTGCTTTTGCTGGATTTTGTTCATGGGTGGAATGACAAATGGGTTGGATATGATGAGCAGTTTTGGTGAGTTGTTGTTTTGCTTGAGATTGTTATATTACTTCCAGTTGTTACTCATCTTAGAAGACGAGAGATTTTTTCTTCATTAAACATTAATCTCTCTCTCTCTCTCTCTCTCTGCAGGTACATTGCATTGCTTCTTGTTTCACTTGTATGCTATGTGGCAAGCTTTTCTTTCTCGGGACTTCTCTTCTATCTGTTCGTACCATCTGGACAGGACTGTGGACTTAATACATTCTTCATTGTGATGACATTGATAATTGTGGTTTTGTTCGCTATAGTCACACTGCACCCATCAGTGAGTTTTTTTTATCTTCCACTACGTTTTAATGAAACCAGCTATCTTCTCTGTCTGTCTTTGTCAAATTTATAGCGTATTTATTGTTTATAATGCTATTCTTACCTTGAAAAGTATAATTCATGAAGAACACTGAATTGCAATTCTATCAGCGTAGTGCCACCTGCTGCAGGCGGTCAACCCTTGTAATAAACATTCTTCTCCAATAGTAAAAAATTTTAGGCAACGTGAACTATGGAAGTTCATAATTGCATAGTGACGTAAATAAATGAGTTTTTGTTGCTTAAATTTTTTGTCATGCACGCAGTGAAGGTTGTGATGTGGAATCAATTAAGAAGAAGCTGTATAACAGAATCACTGCAAGGAGAAGACGAGAAGAGGAAGAGAGTGAGCACATAGAGGAGAAGGAGGGAGAAAAGGGAGAGAAAGAGGGAAGACAGGGGAGGCAAAGTGGGCGACAAGCCAACGTGAATAATTTTCATTCATAGCTGTCTTTGGAAGTTCCTGTTACAACTATATAAATAACAAAACATAAACCTAACAGTTAAGGGGCTTGGGCCAAACCCATATACAAGCTCAATAAAATATAAAGCATAAATAAATGGACATATAACATAAATAAATGGCCCAAACAAACTGCCCAACAAAGGATGTCCGCATCAGGTTGAGTGCCTGATAGTTTCCTAGTTTATTTATGTTTTTTGGTATACCATACACATGACTTATTTTATTAGTGAAGACCTTGAGTCTTATCTTTATTGTGTTTGTTGGTTACTTTCGGAGTTTCGGTTCCACATACAGGTGTGCATATGTGCACCAGTGTCCATGCATTATGTGTTTCAGTGTCCATTCTCTGGTATTCAAGCACTGTATGAACATTGTTACAAAGTGCGGCGAGATTAGAAACCTTGTGATGGAAAATGAAATGAGTCTATACTTTTAGAACATTTTGTCCTCCCATGGCCAAAGGACACCATTTGCTTCATTTAGCAGGTTGTTGTCTCATTGATGCCTTTAAGACCAAAATTGTAGAAGATGAGCTCTCTTTTTGAGTTTGAGAAGTGGAGTTGTACATGGATAGTTTTCTGATGTTAAACGATCACTGTGAGTAAAATGGTAAAAAGGCAAGCCTATGACTTATAAAATTTGATGGATGTCCTTAGATATGAGGGAAAATGAATTTACTGCGATTTTTTGTATGTGGAATTCACTTTAACATCAACTTAGCTTTCACTTGTTTCTCAATTCAAGGTTGCTTCACCGATACTGGATATTTCTTTGTGATCATGATCTTTGCATCTTGTTATCAATTCGGATCCTTATAGCATCCCTAATGGTGTTTTAAAATTGGGTGTAAATTGGTTTCTCCATAATCAATTTCGCATTTTCATTTACATCTTGATGGATCTAAATTCAAATTTTGCTCCAACGGGAAGATCCAAATCCATTTTTGCCTCTTGTGGATGTAAAAAAAGTTATAAATTTACATCTTTTTTTATATTTTCTGCTTATTTGTTGTATCTTTGTGATCATTGTTATATTGATCTCATCAAATTAATGATGCACGAAGCTTCTTATAGACATATTCAGCATTCTGTTTGTGTAACAAGGTGTATTCTATTGTAGCATTAATAATTTACGTTGTCGTGACGCAGGTTGGTGGAAGCATTTTGCCGGCTTCAGTTATATCTTTGTATTGCATGTACCTTTGCTATAGTGGGCTCGCCAGCGAACCTAGGGATTACGAATGCAATGGTCTTCATAAGCATTCGAAAGCAGTTTCCACGGGTACTCTTACAGTTGGGCTCCTTACAACTGTGCTTTCTGTAGTGTACTCTGCTGTTCGTGCTGGATCTTCTACAACTCTGCTTTCTCCTCCAAGTTCACCCCGAGCAGGTGAATTTTTCACTCGACACAAATTTGCTTGTTTTTAAATTTAACATCCATAGAGCGAAGTGTTTGGATCATATCCGCGATAGATGCTTCTTGTTCTCAAATAAAGAGATTCGTTTATCTTTCTTGACATCAAAGAACTTGATATTTTAACTTGTGCCGTTTGTTAGAGATTTATAAGTATAGAAATTGTGAAAAGTGATTTTTTTGGGGAAATTATTGGTTAAAAAGCACGAAAAAGTTATGGGTTCGCATGCAAAATTATTTATTGGGAGAATGTAAGGTTGAAAATGAGTTTGAAAAAAAATGAGTACTAAGAAATGGGTTCTGTTTTTTTACAGAAAGGGTAGTTATTTCCTCCTTTTCTCGTTTTTGTTTGACGGAAAGGTTTCTAAATCATATTTAACGGTTTCTTTTTCTCAAGGAGCTGGGAAGCCTTTGTTACCACTGGACAAGGCAGCGGCCGAGCAGGAGCACCATGAGAAAGAAAAGTCGAAACCAGTTACATATTCATATTCCTTCTTCCATTTGATCTTCTCCTTAGCTAGTATGTATTCCGCAATGCTCCTCACTGGTTGGTCAACTTCAGTTGGGGAGAGCGGGAAGTTAGTGGATGTCGGGTGGCCATCTGTTTGGGTTCGAATACTGACCGGGTGGGCAACTGCTGCTTTGTTTCTTTGGTCCCTGGTCGCACCGATCATCTTCCCCGACAGGGAGTTCTAATCGTATTGAGTGAGTAGATTTCTGTGTAGCGTTTCCATGTTTCAGTTCTAAACTTGACGTATTCTGATGTGTAAATTGGTTTTACTACTTTTCTGTTGGTCGTGACTGCAATATGTGCTTATTGTGTCCAGTTTCTAAATGAACAGAAGCTGGTTTGTGTTCAAGTTGATATTATAAAAGCCTGTGTCTACCTAATTACCTTCTTGCTGCTGTAGACTGAAATATTAATAAATGGGACTTGTGGGCATGCTTTTGAACTATGTGAAACAATGTATAGGATGAAGATTAACTTGAAAAATTCCCTTTTTGGATTTTAGATTGTTTGATTTCAAATGTGCATGCAACTTTCAGCAAAATTTCAATTGGATCACTAAATTGGACACGTTCCGTCACTTATTGCCGCTTAAAAGCCTTGGCAGATGTACAACTCATTCTATTTAATTGTTACATAGTACACTATTAAAAAAATTGTAGATGTTGACACGTTAAAAGTGCAGCCCGACTCGAATAGCCCAAAGAATCCCAACTGGACAATTCAGAATGAAGGCCCAAATAGAGTTATTAATGAATGTAGTGGAAGTTCACAAACGCGGTAATAACATCGCCCAAACTTGTAAGACGCCCAAGATTTGAGCGAATGAAGTACCTTGCAGTCGTCCAGAGTTATGACCCTGTTCTCGCTCTAACCTTTGAATCACCCAGGATCTTAGCAAACATAAGATATTATGGTTATCCAAAAGTGCAGTTATCGAAGCAGTTATTGGCTAATCTCATCACGTTCCACGATTTAAGAAGTTCAGTTGAAGACGGTTGAACGACAAAGAGTAGTGACAGCATTTAGAGACGGCAGTTCCACGATAAGTTGGCCACCATGAAGAAAGTAGGCAGTTATAAAGCAATTAAGCAGTTTCTAAGCGGTTGATCATAAAGAGAGTATCAAAGGAATATAAAAGGAAGAAAAGACATAGAGCAAAAGACCTCGAATCAAACACTCTCAAACAGAGAATATGTAATTTCAATTCCTTAGTTTAGACTTAAAACATTTCTTTTCAGTACTCGTGTGCTTGCGCCCCTAGGCATTCTGTTTAAGTTCCAATTGTAAAGTCATCACCAATAAAACACCCCTTTTTGGGACTTTGTCTCAAGATGTTTATTCCTTTCACAATTATCTGATCCCTTTTTAATTGTTAGCGACAACCCGCGCGAAACAATTTGGCACGCCCAGTGGGACCTTGGTGTTTGGTGTTGAATATACAAAAGGTGAAACAATATGTCTCAGAAATCCGATAAGGAAGCAGCAAGTCAGGGAGGAGTCCAGTCTGTGATCGAGCGATATGAGGAGCAGCATAACTCTCCACGAACAGATGGACAGAATCAGAGCAATCACAGTCGTTACGAACCAATGACAGAGTTGAGTCCTCGAACCATGCGTGCATTACTCGAAGAACTCATACAAGATGTCGTTGAACAGGTAAATCTACGAAATATTCATAATATGGAAAGATTTACCCAGAATGAGAATGCACATTATGATAACATGGCCAAACAACTGAATACTTTGAACGAAATAATGAATAAGTTAGTAGGCCAAATTTGTCAGCCAGTTGTGCCTCTCACAAACCACTTTTAAACTAAGACAATTGTGGGACATAATCCCTCCGTCCTAAGTTTAAATCAAAGGACAGAATCAACTTTTGACCCCTCTACTTCAAACCAGGGGGGTGGTGTAACACCAAATCAGAATAGTGGCATTGATATATCTAACTTGGGGGGTAACCTAAATGTAAGAGATAATGTCCTAAATAATGGGTAGAATACCCCACGTGTTAATGATGGAATAAATGTTCAGGCCAATGGTAACAATGACCCAAATCATGGTAACTTTATTGTCAATCAAGGACCAAACATCAGGCCTCAAACAAATCAACCGGTCAACCAACCTGTAGGAATTCCATATGACCCCAACGTCATGTTGATGAATCAGATTATGGAAATCGTATAAGACCAGATGGCTTTTGGAGTACGTTCTGTCATTAGGCCAACTTACACCAAGCCATATCTTGAGTTGGTAGACCAAACATATCCATGGCCTAGAGGGTACAAAGTGTCAGAATTCTCGTTGTTTACCAGTTTAGGAGAGGTGTCTACTTTAGAACACATAGGGCAATTCACATTGCAAAGTGGTGAAGTAACCGATTACCATGAGGCTTTTCCCTAGTTCATTAACAGGAGTAGTCTTCTCCTGGTTTATCAATTTGCCAGCAAACTCTGTTCAAACATGGCAACAATTAGAGCAATTGTTCTACGCTCAGTTTTATAAGACTGAGTCTGAAGTTACTTTGGCCGATTTGGCGAATCTACATCAAATGCCAAACGAATGGGCAGAAGGTTTCCTTCAAAGGTTCAAGACAGTAAGAAGTAAATGTTTTGTACCTTTGTCTGAAAAGGAGTTTGTCAAAATTGCTCAAGGTTGTCTAAGCTTTGATCTGAAGAAGAAATTCCAAGATAAGGAATTTCCTGATCTTTTCCAATTGAGCGCGAACGTGATTAGGTATGAACGATTAATAAGAGAAGAAGAACAAATGAAAAATTCTAGCAAGGGGACTTATTATAGAGACCCAAATTTTGATGTTCATATCATTAATGACGAGTATTACAATCAAATCGAAATGTGTTTGGCCGAATTAGTTAAAGGAGACACGTATACTTGTCCTATAATGGCTAAGCCTAGGCTGTCGGGCAAGGATGAGCCTATGGAAGATGAAAACATAAAGGCTAGAACATTTTCGTTCGATGTAACCAAAGCTGACCTTATATTTGATAAATTATATAAGAATAAGCAGATAAAGTTGAGCCGTAAGCATAAATTGCCAAGCTCTGAATAAATTAAGGGTAAAAAATATTGTAAGTGGCATAATGAATGGTCACATTTGACTAACAACTGCTTGATTTTTCATTATGTGTTACAGGATGCCATTGAAAAAGGACGAATTACGTTCGTGGATAAGAGGAAGATGGCAGTGGATGAAAATCCTTTTCCACAGCCACTTGGAGTGAATATGGTGACGTCTGGTTTCAAAAACAAGTTGCCAAAATTCAAGTTGGTTATAGATGATGGAGAAGAAGACCCTGGACCACATCCCAGTGTCTTTGAACGTATCAAAGGGAAGGAGCCCAAAAAGGACGAAGATGTCCTATGTGCAAGATGTAAAAAAGAAGTGAATGCAAATGCAGAGAAACCAGGGATATGGCAGCATCACCATCGCCCTAGTTTTTTCCCAAACGCTCAGCCTGGTAGAGAGCGGGGTACATCGTTCTATAAGAGACCTCCTTTTGAGAGGCAGTTTAGGCTAGTAAATAATGGGAGAACATTCAGACCACAACCTCGCCAACCAAATGTATGGTATTCGTTCCAGTATAAGGCTGGAAGGGCGATACCTTTCAATGAGATGACTAGAATCCAACAAAGGCGTTTTCAACGGAACTACGGGCGAATGAGGAGGCAACAACAGGGAATGCTGCATCCTAAAGTACCTAGACTACTCGAGGCGGCCAATCAGAATGTTCTCAAAGACAGTGAAGAGACTGATACAGGCGAACCTATAGAAGAATTACCAGAGACTTTTTCTGGGAGATCGAAGTTTGAACGAGACAGAGGGGATGGAGAAGATCCAGATTAGTCCCTTACTATCCAATTTGGTACGTTACCTCCTGTCGTGGCTAATAACTATTTACTAGCCAATGAGTTCAAGAATAAAGAGAAAGGAGAAGAAGAAAAGGAGGATAATGAAGAGGAAGCATGCATGTTGGAGTATGAAAAATGCCAAACTTCTAGAGAGACCTACAATGGTAAAGAAGATGATGGTATGACAGACATCGAAAAGGAAATCGATCTGGAAGCGGAAAGGAAAAGAAGAGGAGTATCGTACAATACTCTGTTGAAATAATTACATCGAGAGGGAGTTCGTGAAGTAGACTTATTGGGAGAACCATCTGGGTGTTCTTCGTGAAGTAGACTTATTGGGAGAACCATCTGGGCGTTCTTTCGATTTTTACGTGCTGTACGGGATGCCCAAAAGGAAGAAGAGAGTGCCTCGCTCTGAAAAATATGGATCACCTCCAAGAATAATGCCTCCTCCCATAGGTTGGGTAACTGAAGAAGAAGCATTAGAAAACAGTAAAAAGGAAATTCAGGAAACAGAGGCTCAGTGTGATATGCTGCACGTTGACTTATCACAAAAGGGTAACTCGACAGAGGACAAGCATGAAGTGGAAATAGATGCTGCTAAAAAATTATTTTTAAGTGACCAGCCATGAAATTGACCAAACACTTGAGGCCATTGTACGTTAAAGCTCTAGTTGACGGCATATCTGTGGCAAAAGTGCTTGTCGATAATGGAGCAGTTATAAACACCATTCCATCTAGGATGATGAGGAAATTCGCAAAGACAGAAGGTGATATGATCCCAACGGAAGTCATCCTGACAAATTTCAATGGAGGAGCAACTTTAGCTAAAGGGGTTATGCCATTGGACATAACTATAGGGACAACTACTAGGACCACAGTCTTCTTTGTAATAGATGGTCCCACTAGTTACAATGTAATATTAGGAAGAGATTGGACACACGGAAGTCGCTGTATACCTTCATCGCTCCATTAGTGTCTAGTTTTTTGGAATGATAAGGGCGAAGCAGAGGTGGTGCAGGCCGATCATAGGCCTTTTGTCGTAGAAGCAAACTCAGTGGAAAGGTTCATGTAAGAAGGAAATTATGGACCTGTCAGAGTAGTCCAAGATGGAGAAGAAAATCAAATTGTCGCGTAGAGTGAAGAGCCGTTTTCGGTGGATGCACTTACTGAAATGTTCAGTCAGATGAGGCCAAATATAGTGGCCCTGGAGGAGCCAGTAATTGGTAAAAGAATGACCAAGGAGTTTTAAATGAGTTGTAAACAACAAAGACAAATGGCCGATATTCAGGCCTTCAAAGCCAAATTAGTGGCTTTCAATAAAGAATGCAAGGACAAGACGAAAGAAGTAGCAGCCTTGAAAGCATTGAGAGACAAACTGGCAGTGTTCGAGTTGGAACAAAGTATTGGCCGAGAAGTCAATAAGGTGGATTGTTTGGAAGAAGAAGTACCTACAAGGGAACTGGACGATTAAGTGATAAGGATCGCCAAGCCTGGATACGTTCAAGTACAAGACCCACTGATTAAAGTGAATATTGGCAATGAAGGAGAAGATCGTCCAACGTTGATCAGCCA